AAAGGATATTTTACTAAAAATGACTACTATTTAATATTTGTTTAACTTATCATTTTTAGGTTCTACATTATAAAATAAGTTTTCTTAATAATTTTCATTAAAAATAATAAAAAAAGTTCAATAAATCTAGCAAATTGCTAATAACTAACAGTAAATTATTTTTGTTTTCAGTAAGATATTTTTTGATAAAATAAATTAATAAAGTATACATTTAATAAAACAAATTTAGTAAAATATCATTTTGACGAAATGTCTTTTCGGTAAAATGTTCATTTAGCAAAACTTATTTTAGTGAAAAGTCTATTTAATAAAATGAACATTCACAAATTGGCCATTCAGTAAAATGTTCTTTCAGTGAATTGGCTTTGATATAGGAGATTTTAGTGAAATAGGTTTTAGTAAAATATACTATAATTTTTGTATATTAATACAAGATTTTAGTTATAATAAAATATTAAATTTTTAGCTGTAATCTATTATATTTCATTAATTTAATTTATTTATTGTATTAAAAAAATTTTTTCTTTTATGAGTTTTAATTATTTGTATTTATATATATAGAGATCGAATTCAATACAGTTACAAGTTACATAAAATATTAATCTTTTTAAAATTTTACTAAAATTTATCACTTTATCAATTTGATTTTTACAAATATAAATATAATTAATATAAAATTTTGAGGATATATATTTATTAATATAAATAATAAGTTTAATTAATAAATAAAAATAGATTACTACTTAAAAATTTTATGTTTAATTATAACTGAAAACTTATATTAATACATGAAAATGTTATATAAAATACTGAATATAAAATTTATCACTAACTGAATATTTATAAAAATTTTAATATATGATCATTTTGTTAAGATACATAACTTAATTTATTATATCAAAGGTGATATAATTAATAAAATAAAAAGTTTAATTTGAAATAGCTTCTTTTGTCAATTTTTTAATTTTTAAGTGCTAGGTAACTTTTAATATCCCACTGTATTTTAACGTGTGTGACTCCAGTTACTAATCTTTATAGTAACACAATTAGTTTCACTTATTATTAAAAAAAGTAGTCCTAATGCATATAGCTAAAACTATACTTAACTATGGCTAAAATATAAGAGAGATTATTTTTTAGCTAGTTTTTCATATTTTACTAATGTAACTTTATTGAAATTGTGTAAAAGTTAATTTATCATTTTATAAAACTTTTGCCTTATCTTTCTTATTTAATTTTTATATTTTAAATACCATGTAGGTATACTATTTTATTTGCAGATGGAATAAGAAGCTTGCATTATGTAATATAATTTTTTTAGCTCAATTAAATAAAATACATAACAGGTGGTATTTATAAAAACATTTTTTCTTATTTTTTTTAAAACTCTTTTACTCAAATAGTATATAATTACCAGTTTTGTATTTTTATTATTAAAAATGATTATTATTAATTAAATATAATTATTTAAATTAATATTTAAAATCTATATAATTAGTTTTAGTATATCATTTTAATATATCAAAGATTATTATTTTTTGCATTTAATAATATTTGTAATTTTTTAATATATATCTTTATATTAATAATAATAAAATATTAATTCATATTATTCTATAATTAATTCATATTTTTTTCTTATTTTTGTAAATTGTGATAAAATAAAAAATTGGGTAATTTATGATATTTTATAAAAATTATAATATTTATATGTAAACAAAATTAAATACTAATCATTTCTTTTATAGTTATTAATTACCAAAAATTATTCAAAAACTTTAAATATCTTCTTTATAATAATTTCTTTATTTTTTAATAAAAGTTTAAAAAAAATATATTATAAATCTTAAGTAATTTATTTTTTCTTCAATATTTATTAAAATAACTTCATATTCTAAAAAAACATAATATTAAAAATTATGTTTAAAAATTTTTGACTAGAGTCTGCAAAACTGATCTCTTTGAAAATATGATTTCTCTTGTTCTTGATATTTATACAATTCATCATTATAGAGGTGATTGAGTAACGTATAAAAAGATTTGTGTAAAATATTGAAGTAATTTTATTCTTTAATTTAATTGAAAGAATTATAAACAGATTTTTTTAATATTTTTTAATATTTTTTATTGAATTATTTAATATTTAACATTATTATTAATCTTTTTGCTTTTCTAAATTATAATTCTGTAAAACTTCTTATAGCATTATTTAAAGATATATTACGAAATTTTATATATTTCAACAGTTATGAAAAAATATTTTTTTCTTTTAATAATAATATAACAATTTATTTTAATAGTATTTTGTTAATTCTATGAAATAGCTATATATACTAAAGTATACAAACACTTTCTTAAAAGTATACTATATAAATTTTAAAGGCATTTACAAAAATATATTAAATGCATAATCACAATATTTTATCTATTAAATCCTTGTCTAATGATATTAATACATATAAATTTTATTTTTTAGATTATAAAATTACAGAATAATATTTTTTAAAAGCTTTATTATTTCTAAAAACTTAATATATTTAGTTTGTGAGTTTATATATTACGATCAGATTAACATTCATTTTGATAATAATATTTAACTTATAGGAATAGTTATTATAACTATTATCTTCAAAGATATCAATTCAAGTATTTAATATATTTAGATTATCTTTAAATTAAAATAATAAATGTATTTATAATAAATATGATAAAAAGATTAATTAAAAATGAGTATATTAATAGTCAATATGCATATCATATAAGCTTGCTAATTTTAATAAGATTTCTTGTATTACTATAAATTATATAACTTAAGTATATTACAAATAGTTCAAAGTTACATTTTTTCTGACTAATTATAAATAATAAAGTAGATATATAAACATATATTCTACTTAATATAATAATTATTTTATTTATAAAAATCTTGATCTAACTTTTGCAAAATTTATAAAGGATGGTATATTTGACATAAATTTAAGAGATTCTTTACTAAGTTAGTTTTTAACGAAAAATTTTATACTTAAGTATTTGCAAAATAACTATTATCTTTGATTTTGTTTTTTTTTAAAAACCTCTCATATGACAATTTTGAGATAAGTAATATTTTATTTTTATATATAATAATAAACAAATTGCTTATTCTATATGTATATTCTAATTTATTCTTTACACGCTTTGTAAAATTTTTAAATAGTACTGCTAATAGTTATTGCTATTTTTTTTTCTTTTGATATTGAATATACTGTTTAATTCAACTTAAATCCCATTCATCTGATAAATTATTTAACATTTTCTTTATTTTTTCATTTGTTGATTTATTTTAACTTAAAATTAAAGTTTCTAAAAGAGCTTTTTCTTCTAAATTAGAAATTCGCTTGGCTTTTCATTTACATTTATGTGACGATTCATTTTCTTGTGATTGATGTGATATTATTTGATTAGATTCTTCAGCATTTATTTAGTGATTGTGATTTTAAGGTTTGTACATGTTCTTTTTTTTATTTTTTTTTATTTCTTTAAGTTCTTTTTAAAAATTTGATATCTTTAATTTAAATATACTTAATTTACTTCTTTCTGTTGAATAGATTTTGTTTTAAAAACATCTTTATAATAAATTACTCGTATACGAATTATTCTATCAAAAAAGCAATTTTTAAGTTGAGTTACTCCTTCAACTATTAATTACATTCAATAAACATTTTTCCATATATCATTATTAATAAATGATTTATTTGTTCAATCAAACTCTTGAAGAAGAATTTTAATCAAATTCTACATTAAATCATATTTTTGGTTTACAGTATGATTTCCAATAGATGCTATTAGATTATTAAGGTATTTAGATAATAAAACTCTAATTCAATCTCGTTCTGTTTATGCTGATTTTATCTGCATTTTTAAACTTTCAATATTAATTACATTTTCTAATATAATTTGTTTAATGAACTTCACTCTAAAAGTTTTCAATGCTTCATCATAAGCAAAAAAATATCCTTGTTATCATTCATTATGATCAATTTTAATAGAAGCTGCATAGCGTAATTTATTCTCTAACTTAGGATATTTTATCAAAATATTAATAAATTGACATACAAAACTAGCATAATAATTTTTGGCTGCTGAAGCAAATAATCCACTAAATGCAGTTAAAGCATTTTTTTATAAATTATAATTTCTAACTTGAATATCAACACGATGGACATTAAATATTTCAGCCTATTGATAATAAAGATACCAAATTTAAAATGCTGAATTTTTGATATTATTTTTCTAAATTTCATTTTTATTAATATTTTTTTTTATATAAATTCAGATTGCTAAAGCTGCAGCAATCCATATTAATTTAAGAATATGAACAGTAAATCTATAATCGACAACAGATTCCAATTTTTCTAAAAATTTAACTCCAAGCTAATTTGCAAAATCAAAAATATCATAACTTGAAAAAAGAACAATTAGAGCACTACATATATCCTTTAATATATGCTATTAACTAAGAATCAGATATAATTAGAACCATTTATTCATATATTTAACTATTATTCGAAAAATTGCTTCATCGTCAACTATGTCTAAATATTCCTCTGATTTTAATTCTAAGTCTTGTTTATACTGTCACTGGGTTTATTTTCATTTATCTTAATATCTAAGTTGAAAGACTGCAGCAGCTGATTCTACACGTTGAAGTTTCTGACCTTAGGATTTTCTCTAAATCTTACAAGTATCCGTTATATTTGAATCAACTTGGCAATTTATTACGCCTTAGAATTTAAGATACAGGGAGATATAAAAAGTATTGGCTACCCAACGTGATACAAGTGAGGTGCATATTATCATGCTTCTTTTAAATTAAGTCGCAGTATTTTTTTTATTTTAAGTTATACGTGATTATTATGTAAATGATCAAAATAAAAAAATTGCCATTGTATAACATAAAGTTGGTCATATAGTCATATGAAAAAAACTTTTTTTATTAGTAAAAAAAATTTACTGCAAGGATGTATTGTGGAAAGAAACTTAGTGAGGACCAAAAAGAAGCTATTATCGCAGCTAAAAATTTAGAATATACAAATACTAGGATTTCTGCAGTCATAAATTGCTCTCATTCCTCTATTCGACGTACTTAGAAGTTATACAAGCTAAAAAGCCTTCTAAAAAAATGTTTAGATCGACCACAAATTCTTAATAAAACTGAATGCAAACATCTCAAAGGTTTGGTGAAAACCCGTTATCAAACCCTTTTTCAAATATATTTAAATTTTATAAATGAAACAAACAAACCCATTTTCATACAAACTATTTAAAATGAATTAGCCAAAGAAAATCTTCATTCCTGAATTTTTCGTTTTAGTTCTTTAATTTCTGAAAGTAATAAGGAAAAACGTTATTTATAGGCCTGTACTTACAAAAATTGAACAGTAGAAGATTTCAAACAAGTTGTCTAGTTAGACGAGAGTAACTACACATAATTTAGAACTTCAGATTTTGGACAAGTGTAACGTGAACCTTCTAAAAAGTTTCATGAAGACTGCATTGCAGCCACAATTCAAAAGAGCTTTGGTCGCATGTTCTAGGGGTGTTTCTTCTAGGTTGGCTTGGGTCCTTTAGTCCCCTTAGAAGGTTACGTTACTGGAATTATGCATCATAATATTTTGGCTAATTATACCATTCCTACAGTCAAGTTTCATGCAAAAAAGGTCAAAAAAGGTTTTTTTTTAGAAGACAACGTGTTTGTACATACTGCAAAAGTTGCACATTTGTTTCTCACATTCTCAAATATTGAGGTGCTTCCCTGGCTAGCCTAAAGCCTCAATATCAACCCAATAGAAAATATATAGTCATATATTGAGGTCAAGATCCATTAACGAGATTCCCAGCCATCAAGTGTTAGGCAGTTGGAACAGTGGGTTAAAGAGGAGTGGGATGCGATACTCATAGAATATTACTATAATTTGATCAAGTCAATGCTACATTAGATTCAAGCTGTTCTTGCAGCTAATAGAAGACCAACGAAATATTAATCTGTATTTGATAAAAATAAAAAAAAATAAAGAATTATTAAGTTAGTTATTTCGTAAAATGTTTTACAAAAGTGGTCAATACTTTTATACCCCTGTATATTTAATCGAACTCATAATGACAAACTCAATAGCAAGTTAGTGTAATGTATTACAATAATCCTAAGTGAAGGATAACGTTAAAGAAAAAAGTAATTTGTATGGATTTAAATTGATTCTTTTATTTATAACTTGAAACTCGTAGAAGAGTTTTTAAACTTACAACTGAGTTAATTTACAACTTAAGCAAAAAGCTATTCTATTTATACAAAATGACTTTGCTATGGCTAACTACTTGCTACGCTATAAATTAACTAAATATAGATATATGTCTCAATAAAAATATTCTTAAATATAATAAAATAATAAAAATAATAAAAAGAAATAAAATAAATTACAGATGTTAAAGAAATTACAGACGAAATAGAGTAAATAGAATAAACAAACTGTTCAGAAAATACAGAAGAAACAAGCGAATCAGATTAATTTTATAAATCCTTCAAATTAAATGATTTTCCAATGCAATACATCAATCAAGATTTTTCTTAATATAATCTACATAAAATTAAATCTAATAACTTTTTGTAAATCATTTTTCTAGAGCAAATTTTTAACGCTGATAATCCTCTTCTCACTTAATTTCGAACATTGTAGTAAAAAATAATTTGTTCTCAAAATTAAATGTTTCTAAAAATTTATTAAAAAGAATTTGCAGAATGTATGCCATATTTATATGTGACCTACTAGAGGGAAACATGCTATATTCATGCTATCTGCAATCGACCTTATAAATATAGGTTTTTCTAACATTATATAGGGCTAAAATTTGTTGATTTTTAGAATTATGAGATTCAAAATTCTATATAAATAGCTTGATTTTGAATGATCTTCTAAAGTCACGTGACAAATTATTTTTCTTAAATATAACTTTTATGTGTATTAATTCAGTTACTCAAAATCTAAATCTTCAAATCTTCAAATTTTTCAAACAAAAATGCCTTCTAACAATCATTCCAAAAATAATCTTCAAAAAAGTGTTGAACATATGAGAACTTTTCATTCACAACAAAAAATAAGGTTCATGAACAGTTTGCAAACTTTTAAACTCAAGTGTAAGAAGAAGAAAGAAAGAGATTATTTATGGCAGACAGACTAGCATATCTCGTAGCTGATCAAAATACTCGTGAAGAACCGTTACAATAAAGAATAAATATATTAGAAGCTGAAAATCTTCGTCAAAAGGAGGCATTTCTGGAGCAGTAATTATTTTACAAAGATTTATAGGAAGGTCAGATATTAATTTCAGTTAAGTGGTCTGGGTAGTAGTTGGGATTTTTATTTTTACTTGGTCTTTTTCTTGGAATTTTTCTTTGCTGGTGATTTGCTGGGTTGGACTGGTAATTATGACTAGGTTGTATATTTTGTCGATCATTTTATAAATAAAATTATATACTTGGTAACTTGATTATATTGATCTGATCTTTATTCATGATATGCTTAATCTTTTTCTATATCTAGAAAGTTCATTAAAATCTAATATTTAAGAAATCTATCACAAGAAAATTGTTAGACACAAATCTAAATTAACTTTTGATCAACTAATTATATCGTTTAACTTTTCTTAATGCATAAACTACATAAATATGACAAGTAATTTCTTTTTCAGAAAAACTAACATTTTTATATTCCTTGATTCTTATGCATGCATTTTGTCAAATTCTTAAAATTATGCAGCTTACGAAAATTTCCTGAATTTTTGTATTAAATAAAGAAATATTGATCAAAAATGTACTATGCAAATATTGTGTGATCATCTAATTTGATAATACTAATCAATTACGTCAATTTTAAACAGGTTTTTATTCCATAGATTTCTATGTAATGATCATCATCCAATATGGTCTAATGGATTTTTATTTGTTTTTTTGTAAGAAAATAATTCTCATGGTCTTGAGAATTTTTCATAGTCACTTCTTTTGATTATAAATATTTGCCCAAAAATTCTTCCTATTTTCCACAAATTTTTCACTTTCTTCCCAAAATTATTACAAAATTTTAAATTCCTTAAAATATTTTTAATTTCATTATGGTTCAAGTAAATAAAAAGAAGTCTGTTTTCACTTGTTGTAGAGCTTTAGTTTGTCAAAGAAATTATCATAGTGAGAGAATTTTTTAAGGTGAGACAGGTGTACTTAAGAATATAATTAGACATAATGATTGAGACTATATAGAACGTATCTCTTATGGGCTTGTTCTGATAGATTGATATATGCAATCCATCTCTTGTCTAAGGAATATAACAGTATGTTCAACCTTATTTAATATGACTGCAGCATATTAACATTTTTTCCTTCTTTTTTTTACTGTATTATAGATTCTTAAAATATGAGTTTTTTTTGCTTAGAACTGGTTATTACAGCCTCTATTGTCTTATATCAATATGTAACCATTCAGAATATCATTGGGTTCATTAAGCTAACCTTTATGTAAACTGGTACTCACTAGTCGAAGATGCCTAACTTCACATTTCTAATATGCACTCTTCCTTTATTTAGACTATAAGGTCTCGTCAAGAAGTTCAAGAAATTTGTCAAGAAAACTCTGCATTAAGAGAACAATTATCGATTTCTTCAAATCAAAATGCTGAACTTTCTGCTAAATGTGAACATCTAAAAAATGAACTAACTAATATTTCTTCTCTTTTGGTTCATCAAGAGAATAGGATTTATTCACTTAAAGAAGCGTATAGAAATGTTACTCATCTTTCGAGTGGTAGATCATCACGAAAGTAGAATTCAAGATATCAACATATTCCTGATTTTTTTTTTTCTTTGTACTAGATTTTTCTTTTCTTCTTTTTCTGTTTTCTTCATTTCATGTATCTTAAAATTTGTATTTTTTGATTATTCAATAAAATTTTTACACATTATTGCATTTTGCTTTTTAAATTGTCTAATATTATTTTAAGAACTGCCAATCACATTGTTGACACTTTCGCTTTCACTCTTGTAATCCTTTTCTGATATCATGTGATTGTTATTAAAAATTTTTCTTCACATTCTTGTCATAATTTATCAAATGTTATTATTTTACATGATTAAATCTTTTCTTTGAATAAATTCTCTAAAATCCAAAATTGTTGATAAATCTATAAAAATCATAATATATTTCTTTCTGGAATCCTTTAGCAGAATATCTTACCATCTGAGGTATTCTAATACTTTCACATTATTTACAGGCTATGTGATAAACCTTTTTCCAATTTCTTAGCATAATGATTCTACTTCTAAGACTTTAAAACCTTAGGGCATTTTTCCTCCTATCGGTATCTGGTATTTGCAATCATTTACTATTTAAAATCTTTCTATATCTCTATCATTTTTCTACGGGATGAGTGAAAAATCCAAAGCTCTCACTTTTACTTAAGCTCAGTGAAAACCTTTTTCTAAAATCACTCAAAAACTAAAACTAAAATAACGTTCATTAATTCATAAAAGTCTAATAAAAATACTATAAAATATAACAATAAAATAAAGTAACATTTCTTCAATTATCTCGTCATCCAGTGGTCCAATTTGAATAAAACATATGTTATTATAATTTTTGAGATTTAACGGTTCTAATGATCTAAATTTCGTAAAATTCTAATTTGTCAAAGTCAAAATAATGACGTCTGTAACTTTGGTTTTAAATTTACATCTATTATTTCTTTTATCCAATTGAGATTTAGCATTTGATCAGGTGATCTTTAGTAAACTTTATGTGATTAAAATGTTATACAAGTTTTCATGAGGTCGAGAATGATAGGTATTATCTGTTAAGCCTTTATGTAACCTTTGTGTAATCTTAAATTAACATTCTATTTTCTCTATCTTCTTTTTTAAGCTTTTTTCTACTTTTCTCAATAGTTTTATTACCTGGTAGGAATCACTAAATTGTCACTGGGTTCATTTTCATTTATCTTAACGTCTAAGTTAAAAGATTGTAGCAGCTGATTCTACATGTTGGAGTTTCTAACCTTAGAATTTTCTCTAAATCCTACAGGTATTCATTATACTTGAATCAACTCAGCAATTTATCACGCCTTAGAATTTAAGA